TTATCTGCCAAATACATAGAATTTAACTTGAATCAACTCCATTGATAGAAGCAAGAGTATTCTAGATGCTTTTAACATCCTATAAAATTAAAAGGTATGCACTAGAGGTTTAATACATGTTGGGAAAATGAGGGAGCATCTTACATAACCCCACAGCAGACGTAGGGAGTATAGAGCTTAAGGAAAGGGCATTGTGGGCCAGTTCCTTTGTTTTGGTTTTCTGTTTAAATTTTCTTTGGTCTGACCTCTTAATCAGGAAAGGATGCCTATCCCGGATGCAATATGAGTAGCTTTGTAGCTACTGACCAAAGTAAACTGGGCACACAGAAATACTGATTCCTGCCCTGGCTGGTGTTCCTCAGTGGATTGAGTGTGGGCTCTGAACCAAAGGGTCACTGGTTTGATCCCCAGTCAGGGCACATGCCTGGGTTGTGGGCCAGGTCCCCAGTAGGGAGCTTATGAGAGGCAACTACACATTGTTATTTCTTTCCCTCTCTTTCTCCTTTCCTTCCCCTCCCTCTAAAAATATATAAATGAAATCTTAAAAAAAAAAAAAAGGAAGAAAGAAATACTGATTCCCTTATCAAAAAGTCTATTTATCACAGTGATTTTACAGTGTATGTACTGGGGAAAATATTTCTAACAAGTATAGTAATACGTTATTGTTTATAATATATAAAATGCTCTTGAAGATTATGAAACAGATTAACATTTTAGTTTATAAAACAGGCAAAGAATATCAACCACAGTTTCCAGAATATGTACAAATTGTTACCAATTCTATGAAAAAAAAATGCTTCTACAATAATAGAAATGCAGATAGAAACTGCGTGTGTGTGTGTGTGTGTGTGTGTGTGTGTGAAGTTGCAAAAGGATAATAACTCATTGTCAGTGAATGTGTGGGCCATCAAGTTTACTCTCAGTGTGAGTGAGAATGTTAATTGGTACTTTTTTTGGAGATTGATTTGACGATATTTATCACATTAAAATATATACATAATATGGGTTAAGGGGAAATGGAGTCTTTAAACAAAACAGTATTGGCCATGAGATCATTGAAATTGGACGGTGAATACCGGATGGTTCGTTTTAATTGTTTTATCTACTTTTGCATATATTTGTAATTTTTTCAATAAAAAGAAAAAATGTACATATTCTTTGATTTACTAATTATTCTCTATGAATATATATTATATAGTAGTTGGAACACTTAAACATAGGATGTGAAAGAATGAAATTTATATTATTGTTTGTAATAGTGAAATATTGGGAATATCCTGAATGTTCTTTAGTTAGATAATAGTTTTAAACTAGCTTAGCAGTTGATGAGATTATCTTATATACTTTTATATGTATACAGGTGGACATTACATTGTCAAAGATACATTGTTGTATGAGAAAAGTTACAGAATAGTATATAATCTACTTTTTGTTAAAATAGATATGTCAGTTATATCTATGTATGTAGTATGTACATAAGAAAAATCAGAAGTTTAACAGTTTTATTTTGTGGGAGGAGGTAGAATAGGAAATATTCACTTTGACTATGTATTTCTATATTATATATTTTTTCATGTTTACCTTGAAATCACAAAGGAAAGAATAAATTCGAACATTAGAAAAATTAGCTTGACTTCTAATAAAGGTGACATTCTAGAGAGGAGGGAAGTTATCAGTGACATTAATGGAGGGCGAAACCTTAGGGAGATGTGTACAGTATTTATCCTAGCTGTGTTATATGCATTGTTTATTTACCCTTTTCTTTTTTGCTTTTCTGTAAAATTTCTTAGGGCAGAGAAGTTTTAAAAGAGAATAATACTTTCACAAATAGCTTTATTAATGCAGTTTTATATTTGACTTCTGTTCTTCATGTTTATTTATACGGATAAAGAATTGGTGTGTATCTGCCTTAGAATGTAAATTAGAATTTGTTGCTTACTCAAAACAGAACAGATTATTTGTGCATGCAGTTATTTTTAGAAGAAATTTAACTCTTTAAATACAATTTTTTCTTGAATTAATCCTGAACTTTATAAATTCCATTTAACCTGCTTATTATGTAGTACACACTATGCAGAACATTGAGACACATCTGTAAATAAGAGTAAGAGAAACACATGCACTGTTTTTGATGTGTTGTTTGCTTCAGGAATGGTAGTATGTGTTGCAGTGTGCTTCAGACTAAATGGGCAACACTAGGAGTAGAGAGAGTTATGTGTGCCTAACTTGGCTGCAGAAATTCGTGCATGGGAGGGAAGAAATAGGAACACAAGGAATCAAGAGAATTTTAGTTGTCTTTACCCTATAAATTCTTGAAAATATTTAAGCATAGTGGAATGTCAATGGAAAGATGCCAGTGGAAAGATTTATTGAAGGCCGGCTCCGGCCTATAATTATATAACCTCGGTCAGTTTCTTTAATCTGCTTTCTTACAGTTACAGTTTCTTTTTTTTTTTTTAAAGATTTTATTTATTTATCTTTAGAGGGGAAGGGAAGGAGAGAGAGAGAGAGAGAGAAACATCAATGTATGGTTGCCTTTCGTGCGTCCCCTGCTGGGAACTGGCCTGCAGGGAACCCGCCTACAACCCTGGCATGTGCAACCCTGGCATGTGCCCTGACTGGGAATTGAACCGCGATAGTCTGGTTCCCAGGCCTGCGCTCAATCCACTGAGCTACACCAGCCAGGGCCAGTTTCTTTTTTTAATTGTTGTTCAAGTACAGTTGTCTCCATTTTCACCCTCCTACTCATCATCCCTAACTCTAACCCTCCAACCTACACCCTTTGGCTTTGTCCATGTGTCCTTTATACATATTCCTTGTTGGCCTTTCCCCTATTATCCCATTATCCCTTCCTCTCTAGTTACCGTTAATTTCTTCTGTATATGTAAAAAGGGATCTGTGAAGTCAGCATTTGTAATAATGTCTCTGTAGCATTGTTTTGAGTATTAAGTTATTTTTGTTCCCCTGCCACAGTAAATGGCTCATAATAGGAACTCAAAATGACCTGTGAAAAATAAATATGCAGAATGCTTAATGCATAGTTGAGCACATAATAAGAATTTAGTAACTTTTCTCCAGAGGTTCAGCTGTGTATGGAGGGGAAGAATAAGAAGGTGGTAGTGGAGGGGGCATAAGGAATCAAGGGTAACTATAAGATTGGGTATCACTGAACATTAGGGCAGAAACACTAGGAGACGAAAACGTAAGGAAATGTTTGTTTAAGGATATACTGTGCAACGAGAGTAATACAGTGGGAAGTAATGTGGAGACAGACCTGCCATCATGAAAAAGGGAGAGAATTTGTAGAAGCAATAGCAGAGCATGTGAAACTAACTGGGAATATTTGCATTTTAATTTTTGTACATCTTCCATTCTCTAGAATTGGTAGACTCTAGGTCCTAGTAGTCACCCTGACATTCTATTGAGGTCATTTCTCACCCATAATTATGTTGCTCAGGCCTTGGTTCATTTCTTTAACTTGAAACAAAAATCCCTCAACCACTGGATTTATAATAAGCTTTTTAGAAAGTTGTAATTTTAATATCATGATTTGAAGGCATTAAATTGTTTTCAGTGTCTGGAGAAAGAAGGTTCTCAGCCTGGCATTGAGCATTCCTGATGATAGAATTCACTGTAGTGATTCATCGGACATTTTTACTCACCTCTAGCACCTATCTTGTTAGACTTCTAAATCTTTTAACCCCTCTGGTCATAGTACTAAAGTGCCTTTTCCTCACAGCTATGTCAATATTATATGGCAATATATATATATTTTTATTTATATCATTGGTTCTGAGAGTCAGGGGATATACAATGTCAAAACTGGTTTCATTATAATACTAAGATGTTACTTGCCTTTACCACTGTTTCAGCATTTGTACAGATGGTATGAAAACAATGTGTTGTCACCCTGGCTGGTGAGTGCGGGCCTTCGAACCAAGGGATTGCAGTTCAATTCCCAGTCAGGGCACATGCGTGGGTTACGGGCCAGTTCCCAGCAGGGGACACACAAGAGGCAACCATATATTGATATTTCTCTCCCCCTCTTCTTCCCTTCCCCTCTAAAGATAAATAAATAAAATCTTTTTTTTTTTAAGAAAACAATGTGTTGTCAGACTCCTGTGTACCTTAGCATGAAACAAGTCAATGGCATCAAACTGCAACTAGTATACTTCATAGTGAGAGAAAAGTAACCCTCAGTCTCTACTTTTTGAAGGTCAAGGTCAAATATTTCAACTTGGTCAAGGCTTCATCATCGTCAACATGTTGTTTTCCTAAGCAGAGTTTTTGTAATGTGATCTCATAGAGCCTCTCTCAAACCTATTGCTGTGTTCATCTCATCATATTGTAATTATTGATTAAGTGTCACTCTTCCACAAATTACCATGAACTTAGCCAGGAGATGTGTCATTTACTCATTTGTGTGCTATTTTTTGGTTATTACGATAAAGTTCACCGAAACTGCAAAAAAAATCAATTCGGTAGTGATTTCCTGTAGCAAGGTCATGACTACCCTTTCAATGAATTGAATATACTCAGCTTCCCCCAAATCATTGATTAATTATATTAATCGGTGTGTTTAATTATATGTGGCATAATCATTTTTTATCTTTTTCAAGTGCTTATGAAATTTTGCCATGTAACTTTTTAGTTTGCCTAAACCCACTTTTGAGATTCAAAGCATCCTTTGCTGATGACCATGGCCCCTCCACTTGCACTTAGAGCTGTTGTTTTGATGATAGCTGCCATTATTATCTTGGAGTGGTTGTTGAATCCTGGCCTTGCCTCAGATAGGCTCTGAATGAATATTGAGAACTGTCATTTTTGTTTTAAACTTCTTTGTTTCTGGAAAGTGTTTGTGATTTGAGGTATTGGATATATTTTCCCTCAATTTAAGGATTTTTATAAATCAAAAATTTTAATATATGATATCATTGGTATAAAATAAGCTCTGCAAGTAAATTAATCTTACATATGCTTATCTTTTATTTTCTAACCAGAGACTCTACAGGGGCAGGTAATTCACTGGTCCACAAGCGGTCTCCTTTACGCCGAAACCAAAAGACCCCAACATCCTTGACCAAGCTGTCTTTACAGGATGGACATAAAGTCAAAAAGCCAGCATGTAAATTTGAAGAGGGTCAGGATGTCCTAGCTAGATGGTCAGATGGCTTGTTTTATCTTGGAACTATCAAAAAGGCAAGTTACCTTAATATAAAATATTCTTTACAGTTTTATAGTAAACTTTTAATAATTTTGCATTTAAGTTTAACTTCATGTTTTTAATTTTAAAAGAAATCACAAGTATTCCTCTGTATTTCAGATAAACATATTGAAACAGAGCTGCTTCATCATATTTGAAGACAGTTCTAAATCCTGGGTTCTCTGGAAGGACATTCAAACAGGTAGGTGCTATGGTTTCTCGTGAACATGATTTATAGTAACGTTTGATATTTTTTGACTTGTCCTTGTATTAAGATATCTCAGAATCACTTTTGGGGAGAGGCTAAAAAAATCAATATTGCTTTCATAGTCTTCAGGGAGTAGTAATCTATATCAGTGATTTTTATCCTTTTTCATCTCATGGCACATATAAACTAATTACTAAAATTTTGCTGCATACCACAAAATAACATATTTTGCTGACATGGCCCCCCAAAAAGTATAACTTTGATTCATTGATTTATTTATACGAGACAGCTATTGTGTTGGCTTTTGTCATTTTTTTATTTGACAGTCTAAGGGAAAAGAGGTCAGTGTCCCTGACTGAATATAGTCACGTATTACATATTTAAAAATTCTCCCATCACACTGACTGAAAATCACTGATCTATAGTAAAGAGCACAAAAGAAAAAATTCAGTCCTCTGGCGCAGAGGTAGACTAAAAGACAGATAGATGTGTCACTGATGTACACCTACCTTTAAGCTTTTTAGGACCCTTCTAAGAACTTAGAGAAGAAATACTTTGGGCTTCATCTTAACCATTAATTGCTTATATTAATACAAAGTAATGTAGAGAACTGATAGGTACCGAGAACATAGTATTTGTTAGATGGGGAAATTAGGATATATTAAACAGGCTTAGAGTACTAGCAATATTCATTTATAAGAATGGTTTTAAATTACTATTTTTTAATGTTTATATGGGGAAATAAGGCTATATTGGGTACAAGTAAAAATGAGTACAAGTATGCCTTGGCTTGTTATAGGTATGTTTCTTACAATGCTTTCTGTTTTTACAAACTGTAGTTGCTGTATGCCCTTTGCATCTGCTAAATAAAGGTGTTTTCCTAGGAATCTCTTTCATGGAAGGTGCTTTATTTTTACAAAGTGTGAATACTAAAAATCTTAGTATTTTAGCTGCACACTAAAGCAACGGTTTTGGTTTTCCTTTTACCAAGTTAATAGGCCTGCACTAAGACCTGTGTTTTATATTTCCTGTTGTAGAAAGGAAATGTAAATTCTCTTTGGGTACTTTTCTTAAGTATTTAGCTATTGGGCTTTGTATTAGAATCCCAAGTGCAACTTTATGATAGGTTACTGCGTGTTGTATTATATTTTTGAATCTGCTGCAATTGATGGGTCAGTGAGAAAAGCAATAGGAGGATAGGATGTCTTCAGCAGTAGTGATATTGGGCAGATCTTACTACCCCACGTACAGAATTTCCCTTTTTCAGTTTGTAAACCTTAGTCTGTGGTGGGACCGAAACACATTAAACTGCTTCTGTTCCGTCTCTGTTAGTTCTGAGTCTTTCAACTCTTCTACCTTTTCAAGGTTCCTGTGAGTTAAATACTGGTTTCTCTGGTTTTTATCTCCTTTTTTTTCTCCCTCCCTCCCTCCCTCTTTTCCTTCCATTCTTCCTTTCTTGCGAAGATAAGTGAGTGGTACATAGGGATAGAAAGTTGTCATGGAAGTTAGGGTCGTGTCCAACATGTGCCCCACCCAGTATATCAGTTTAGTAGTCTGGTGGTTCTTTCCTCACTGGCTGCTTTTACTGTCCTTAGAATTACCAAGGATTACTCCTTGGCCATTAACTCTTTGTGACACCCAGGAAGTAGTACACATATAACTTGGAGTTGCTATAGAATGAGCAAGTGAACCTGAAACTGCATTATGACAGATTTCAGTGTGGAGAGAAGTTTTAGTGGTTTTCTTATTGTAAGAAACTTGCTAATAATAGATAATATCAAAATAACTTAATAAATTATAGTAATTTCACTCATCTAATAAGATTCCTTTGAAAAGTTTACATAAATAAGGAAATATAGTCATGTTAGTAGTCAAAGAAATGTGCATTACAAAAGGGAGGTAACACGTTAGAATCATTAAATGAACTTAAAGGGACTTTTAATTTTAACACCTAATGCTGTTATGGTTTTTGTGAAAATGATAAACTGCTGTTGACAGTGTAAATTTCTATTTTGGATATTACTTTCAACAGTTGTGTTATATGCATAAAATGTTTTATATTCTTCAATTTATATAGCAGTTTATTCAAAACAAATTCAAAAATAAAAATAACTAGATGAAAAATACTTACTGTAGTTGTTTTTAGCAACAACAAGAAAGTTGGTATATTGAAGATGAAATGGCTTGAACTTTATAGTCAATTGGATTTAGAATGAGGGAGCCTATAGAAGGCCAGTAAACTACAGAGCAAGTTCTTGTCAACTTGATGATAAAAAAGGTGTGCTTCGATTTCACAGGTAAAGGCAATTCCCTACTTTCTCATGATTGTTTCCTGAGGTGAACACATATTGTTTATTGAATCAGCATCTGCTTTTCTGAGGGAGCTACCTTCTCCCACACCAGCCCACATAGTTGCAGAAGTTAGATCAGGCACCTACCTCAATCTGGGATTATTGGTCCTTTTCCAGGCAATTGCAGATTTTGGCAGAGAGGTCCTAGTGTCAGTCTGGTTGCTCTCCTGATGATAGCCATAAACTCAGAAACTGTGGGGGGACATGTTTAGCCAACTGTGCAAGGAAATAAATAAACCTTGGAAAAGCAGGAAGCTAGAGAAGACAAGAAACCAAAGCAAACCAGGAAAACTGCAAAAATTGAACAAGAAATTTGGTTTAACTTGTATGCGTAAGAATAGAAGCATAATAAAGTAAATTTGGTTCTTTCTACTGGATAGAATAATAATGTAAGTATTTGAAATTAAAATTTTGAAAACTGGAGTGACAAATGCTTTTGATAGAAGAAATATTATATAGTACTAATGAAAGGAAGCATCTCACAGTGGATAGAGTATTAACTGGCATATCTGGGTTTGAATCCTAGCCTTGATACTTTATGACTGAGCATCCTTGATTTAGTTACTTTATTTTTCTGAGCTTCAGTTCTTCTCTTTAAATAGAATACTTATCTAATAAGTTGTAAAATTAAACAAAATAGTATATGTCCAAAACCTAACAATGCTTGGCTCATAGCACAGAATTGAAATTTTTTATTGTTGCTTTGGGAATAAAACATATGTGTTAATATTTTAACTATGTATGTTGAAATTGACGAGAATATTGGAAATATGTTAGAGGATTAAAATCATATTCTGAATTTTATAGAATACAATTGTTTTTAGCATAAATATGTTCAAGAAATAATTTACCTGTGTAGGTAAAAAGTATACTTAGTAACTAGAACCCCCAAATTTTGTGCAGTGGGATTTTCTTGGGATATAATATTGAGTACCATATTCCCAGATTTCAGAAGCTAGACATTAAATAATAGATATTCAGTTCCTTTTATAAATTAGTAAATAAAAAGAAATGTTCCAAATCCAAAGAAAAGGAGATATTGATATATCTTCTTTGCCCTTTTTTGTTAGTCCTTAGGCAGTGTAGATGGAGTGAACACACCATACATGGAGTAGCTACAGATGTGTGTTTTGGAAAATAGTTCTTATGTTAACAAAACACATCCTCTTCCCTACCCCCTACTCCTCAGGACAGTGAAAATATTAGAAATAAATGATAAGGTATCCTGCCTGAGAGCAGGTTAAATTATGCCCTGTGCCAAAAATCAGGTTAAATTTTCAATGTAGACAGGTATGCATATTGAAGGTGGGAAGAACACAGCAAAGGAGCAGAGAGATAGCATTTTTTATATAGTATTTCACCTTGAAAAAAAATAATGGGTCTAGTGAACAAAAATCTCCAATAAGGGCTACTCAGTGAGTCAAAAGTAGTTTTGTTACAAGGAATACTTCTTTATTATTTTAAATAAATAATATTTATTATTTTAAATATTTCAGGAGCCACTGGAAGTGGGGAAATGGTCTGTACAATATGTCAGGAAGAGTATTCAGAGGCTCCCAATGAAATGGTTATATGTGATAAGTGTGGCCAAGGTAAACATTGATTTCTTTTAATCTTGTGGGAAAGTTTTGTTACATATGTAATGCCCCTGTTGAAGATTAATGATTAAAATTACTTTACATTGGTAATTTGAAGCTGTTTCAATAAATTTATTCATCAGTTGTAATTATATTAATGTAGGAAAAGAGAATACTAAAATGCCTTCTTGAAATTGTGTTGCAGTATTTATTAATAAAATAGAATTTGCTTTATGCTTTTTTTGATATTAAGGATATCATCAGTTGTGTCACACACCTCATATTGATTCCAGTGTGATTGATTCAGATGAAAAATGGCTCTGTCGACAGTGTGTTTTTGCAACAACAACAAAGGTATCTTTTAAGTGTTTTGGGCTAAAGCCCTAAATGGAATTTGTAAGGCACTATCAACATAACGATTGTGTATGTTGAAAGTTTATGTGAATGAAATGAGCAATCAGTGCTGGGTAGAAAGAGGTGCTGCTTATTGTTTGACTAATGATCCTTAAGTGACTTGCAACTGTTCTTGCAGTTGTTTTCTGAGAGTGGTCTTGGAATTGGGGCAGTAATTTGAAAGAAAAGATAAAGATTATTATTAGTCCAACAGTTTGTGATATGGTAAGAAATTTAGAATGGAAATTTCTTTAGAAGTGTCAGAAGCATTTTTAAGTTACAGAATTGTATATAAATTTTATCCTTCACTCTTTAAAATAAACTTTTCCCTCTAATATAGAGGGGTGGTGCGCTTAAGAAAGGACCAAATGCCAAAGCATTGCAAGTCATGAAGCAGACATTACCCTATAGTGTGGCAGACCTTGAATGGGATGCAGGTCATAAAACCAATGTCCAGCAATGTTACTGCTATTGTGGAGGCCCAGGAGAGTAAGTAAATATAATTATTTAATGCCCTTTAAGTAATTTTTATTTGCTTATATTGTTGGTTTTATTTTTGTTATTGATTGTAGTGTTGGAGTGATAGTGAATTGTAAATTCATGAAAGTATCAATAAAGAAAATGGGAGGAGGGGAATTAGAGGTTGTAGTTTTATTCACCTTTTTCATTAAATATTTGTTGAATAAATGAATCATTTCTAACAAAGAATGTTTAGAAAGTTACCTTTAAGTTGTTTAGTGTTCTTAGTTCTGCTCTTTGGAACTAAACAAATAAGTCGTATCTCCCTGAGGAGGTAACTCTTAAAATATTTCAGTCCAACCCTGATAGTGCGGCTATGAATTGAGTGCCAGCCTGTGAACTGAAAGGTTGCTGGTTTGATTCCTGGTCAGGGCACATGCCTGAGTTCTGGGCCAGGTCGCCAGTTGGGGGCATGTGAGAGGCAACCAATCAATGTCTCTCTCTTTCCTTCTCCCTCCCTTACCCTCTCTTTAAAATTAAATAAAATCTTTAAAAACTTTTTCAGTCCAGCAATCATATTTCCCACTCCCATGATTCAAATACTAATGGTGTTCTCTTTTCGAGGCAACAATCTCCATTGCCATAAAAAAACTCTATGTGAAACAACTCCGAAACCATGTATTTCTTGTTCACCAGTTCTTTTCTTCAATATATTTTGATTATGCTATCGCAGTTGTCCTATTCCCCCCTCACCGTTAATTCCTCTTCACTCTGCACACCCCCTCCCACCTGCATTCTCCCCTTTTAGTTCATGTCCATGGGTTATACATATAAATTCTTTGGCGTCTACATTTTCTATACTGTTCTTAACCTCCACCCGTCTATTTTCTCCCTACCATTTATGCTACTTATTCTCTGTACCTTTTCCCCCCTCTCTCCCTGCCATGTGACCTCCATTTCTGTGATTGTCTTCCTGTTCTAGTTGTTTGTTTAGTTTTTTGTTGTTGTTGTTTGTTTCAGGTTTGGTTGTTAATAGCTGTGAGTTTGTTGTCCTTTTACTGTTCATATTTTTTATCTTTTTTTTTCTTAGATAAGTCCCTTTCACATTTCATATAATAAGGGCTTGGAGATGATGAACTCCTTTAACTTGACCTTATCTGTGAAGCACTTTATATGCCCTTCCAATCTAAATGAAAGCTTTGCTGGATAGAGTAATCTTCAATGTAGGTCCTTGCTTTTCATGACTTGGAATACCTCTTTCCAGCCCCTTCTTGCCTGTAAGGTCTCTTTTCAGAAATCCGCTGACAGTCTTATGGGAACTCCTTTGTAGGTAACTGTCTCCCTTTCTCTTGCTGCTTTGAAGATTGTGTCCTTATCTTTAATCTTGGCTAATGTAATTATGATGTTCCTTGGTGTGTTCCTCTTTGGGTCCAAATTTTTGGGGACTCTCTGAGCTTCCTGGACTTCCTGGAAGTCTGTTTCCTTTGCCAGATTGGAGAAGTTCTCCTTTATTATTTGTTCAAATAAGTTTTTAATTTCTTGCTCTTCCTCCTCTTCTTCTGGCACCCCTATGATTTGGATGTTGGAATGTTTAAAGAAGCCCTGGAGGTTCCCAGTCCTCTCCTCATTTTTTTGAATTCTTATTTGTTCATTCTGTTGTTGTTGAATGTTTCTTCCTTTTGCTCTAAACCGTTGATTTGCATTCTAGTTTCTTTCCCATCACTGTTGGTTCCCTGTACATTTTCTTTTATTTCACTTTTCATAGCCTTCATTTTTTTGTGTGATTTGTGACTATACCCAACCATTTCTGTGAGCATCCTGGTTACCAGTGTTTTGAACTCTGCATCTGTTAGGTTGGCTATCTATTCATCACTTATTTCTATTTTGGGAGCTTTGACTCTTCTTTCCTTTTGGCCATATTTTGTCTGGGCACACCTGTTATGTGATAAGGGGTGGGTCCTTAGGTATTCACCAGGGTGGGGCAATCCATGCTGCTGAGTTGTGGCACTGTATGTAGGGGAGGGGTCCAAAAGGAAACAATGCTGCTGTCTACGTTTTCCGCTGGCTTTCAGTCACTTCCCTCAAGCAAATTGGGCCCTTCTGGTACTGATTGCCGGGCAGGTGGGTTTGTATATGTTCTAGGACCCTTTGGGTTTCTCCAACGAACTCTCCTGTGAGACTGGGAGTTTCTCCCACTGCCTTCTCAACCTTCACTGGTTTTTACAGGTAGAGATTTTGAGGCCTTTATTTCCCCATACTGGAACCCTGCATTGCGGGGTCTATCTCTCTCCCCAGTTGTTCCTCCCAGTTTATCTGCATGGAAATGTAGGACTGCCCCATCCGCCAGCTACTGCCTTACTATGCGTCCTCTACACCCTGCTGACTGTTTCTGCCCCTCCTACAGATCTGGATGAGTGTTTCTTCTTTAACTTCTTGGTGTTGGACTTCCATACAGGTCAATTTTCTGGCAGTTTTCTGTTATTATCCTCCTTCTGGTTGTGCAAGGAGGCACAATGTGTCTACCTGTGCCTCCATCTTGGTTGGAAATCCTTTTGTTCACCAGTTATTAAAAGTTATTTTTGAATACAGTGTTACGATTAGAAACTTCACTGTTTCTAGTGCATGGAGTATAAAGGGGTTATTAGAGTTCTGGACATTATGTTTACGTAGCTTCAAAGAGGGATTGTGTTACTTACCCTTCTTTGGTCATCCCATTATATTCTTTTGGATCATTTTGGGTTTGTTAGGTGGTCAGCTAATACCTTTAGCTTTTTTTGTGTGCAGGCTGGTGTTAATCCAAGTTGTATATCATATATTTGTACTACATTTAAAAAATATTAGTGAATAACTTTATGTTTAACTTTATTTAAACTGTAATTATTGGTTTCTTATATCTTTCTTTTGAGACTGCTTCTCTTAAGATGGTGGTATTTAGGAGAATGCTGGGACATATAGGTACTCAGTGATGAAAACATGAATAAGCGAATATATAAATGAATGAAATTTTAGGTCTTTGTTCTATGTCATCTCTGATCTTAGGGAATTTTTTTGATTTAACATTTTTATAATATTTTTCAGTTTTTGGTTACCTACACATTTAAGAAACTGTTTTTGTTTTTTTTATTTTTTTGTTTGTTTTGTTTTTTTGTTTTTTAAAATCACTTATAAAATAGAGAAAATGGAAGACTTCCACCAACTTGGAGGTGTAGGTGGAAACATTTTGCCTTTTCACACAACCAAGTGTAAAAACAACAAAGTTTTAGCAATAAAAAACACAGCCAAACCACAGAAAATTGAACAATGTGGTCATGAGTCTGACCACAACCAATCACTCAGCCAGGCTGGTAAGAGTCAGCAGCAGAGCAGGTCGGGCAAAAAGGATTCCCGACCCAGGCACACAGGCAGCCAAGGGTGAATCCCAGGTGTGGGGTAGTGACAGGTTGACCCAGTGAAGGCGCAAGGCGGCAGGCTGACCTCAGTCACACATTCGTGCACAGATAAGCCAGTGAAGGAACGAGCAGTGAGACAGACCGGGCAGGCACCAGTGGTGGGAAGAGCAGAGGAGATCGCCATTGCTCCCTCTCTGACCCCAACCCCCACGTACAGCATCACAAGTCAGCGACCTGAGTGGCCCTACCCTGGTGAACACTTAAGGCTCTGCTCTTCATACGTAACAGGTGCGAACAGATCAAAACATGGCTCAAGAACAACTCAGAGCCCCAGAGCCGATAAATCTAAGTGAACAAGAAATTGCCAACCTATCAGAGGCACAGTTCAAAACACTGGTGACCAGGGTGCTCACAGAACTGGTTGATTTTTGCCACAAATTAGAGGAACATATGAAGGCTAAACTAATTGAAATGAAGGGAAATGCACAGGAAAGCAATAGCAATAGAAAGGAAACTCAAATCAAGGGAGCGGACCAGAAGGAAGAAAAAAATGACCAAACAGAAAAATATGAAGAAACAAGAATTCAAAAAAATGAGGAGAGGCTTAGGAACCTTCAGGACATCTTTAAACGTTCCAACATCCAAATTATAGGGGTACCAGAAGGGGAAGAGGAACAGCCACGAGTGGAAACCTTATTTGAATGAATAATAAAGGAGAACTTCCCTGTTCTGGCAAAGGAAATAGACTTCCAGGAAATCCAAGAAGCTCAGAGTCCCAAAGAAGTTGAACCCAAGAAGGAACACACCAAGGCACATCATCATTACATTAGCCAAGATTAAAATGAAGGAGAGAATTCTAGAAGCAGCAAGAGAAAGGGGACAGTCACCTACAAAGGAGTTCCCATCAGACTGTCAGCTGCTTTCTCAGAAGAGACCTTACAGGCAAAAAGGGGCTGGAAAGAAGTATTCCAAGTCATGAAAGGCAAGGACGTACCTACATCCAAGATTGCTCTACCCAGCAAAGCTTTCATTTAGAATGGAAGGGCAGATAAAGTGCTTCTCAGATAAGATCAAGTTCAAGGAGTTCATCATCACCAAGCCCTTATTATATGAAATGTGAAAGGGACTTATCTAAGAAAAAGAAGATAAAAAAGATGAACAGTGAAAGGACTGCAAACTCAACAGTTATTAACAACCACACCTAAAACAAAAGCAAACTAAGGACAGCTAGATCAGGAGCAGAACCATAGAACTGAAGATCACATGGAGGGTTAGCAACAGGGGAGTGGGAGAAAGATAAGGGGGGAAAAGGTACAGAAAATAAGTAGCATAGACCCTAGATAGAAAATAGATAGGGGGGGGGGAATATAGAATCTAAAGAACTTGAGATACAAGGTCATAAACTAAAGGGGGGATGATGGGGGAGAGGTGTGCAGGGTGAAGGGGAATGAAGGGGAGGAATAGAACAACTGTAATGGCATAATCAATAAAATATATTTTAAGAAATAAAATAAAATAGATTAAATGAACAGGCCTACAGATTGATTTTTTTCTTTATTCATTTATACCTAACATTTAGTTTAAAGCATTATTCAAAATAGGCGGAAACTGTTATAGACATTATTTTATGAAGCAAAATCATGCATTGTTCTTTAACTACCTTAACTACATAAAATTAGATTGCTAACAACTAACTTCAGCAGCTAGTAGAGTATTTGGAACATAATATTCATTAGTCTTTGATGAATGAATACTTTAGTGAATATCAGTTTTCTTGCTTTTGTGTATATGTGACTTAAAATTTATGGGGAGCTCACTTGTTGAGCAAAAGAGTTATTTGGGGGAAAAACACATTATTAGGGTGGCAGATAAGGATACCAATATATCAAAACCAGGTACTAACTGAAAAGAGAGGATACCCTCAGCTGAAGATTCAGTTTTATCATCCCCAGCTCTGTGAAACAGAACAAAATCTTTCACAAAGCCTTTACACCTGGTAGAGTCTTAGATTAGATTTACAATTATGTTAATTAAATTATTGATTGCTATATAGTTGTGTACCCCTTAACAACGGGGATACTTTCTGACTAACATCATTAGGTGATTTCATCATTGTGTGATGTGATATGAATGTACTCACACAAACCTAGGTGGTATACACCTGGGATATATGGTATGTTGCTGATGTATACGTGGTCTGTTGTTGACCAAAATGTTATGCCATGCATAACTGTACTTCTTTTCGTTTTAGTGGACAAGCATAATATAAGCACAATGAAGATATAAAGCTGCTTATGCCCATTTGGTATATGGAGCAAACAGCTCTGATATCAGCGCTATCTGAAACTTAATCTCTTCTAGAGTATGGAGTTGATATGAAATCCCAGGCTTGTTTTTTTTGTGGTGGTGGTGGTGGTGGTTTTAATCCTCACTGGAGGATATGTTTATTGATTTTAGAAGAGAGGAAGGGAGGGAGATGATAGATAGATAGATAGATAGATAGATAGATAGATAGATAGATAGATAGATAGATAGAAAAACAAACAAACATCAATGTGAGAGAGCGAGATTGATTGTTTGCCTCCTGTACATGCCCAACAGGGAATCAAATTTAGACCTTTTTGGTGTGCAGAATGATGTTCCAACCAACCAAGCCATCTGGCCAGGACCCAGGCTAGATTTTTTCCCAGTGTAGGAACTATGCATTTGTTGACTAGAAATAGATGTGTCTCTCTAGAACTTATAAATTCTCATGAATAAAAGAGAGTAACGAAATGGTCAATATTAATAATGTTTTTGGGAAAGAAAAAAAACCTAACACTAAGTATAGGGAGAACTGGATTCTGCAGTCTTTTTACTTTTAAACCCTTTACCTCATTTTAAAAGGTAGTAATTTTAATTTTTTTTTCTTATAGCTGGTATTTAAAGATGCTACAGTGCTGCAAATGTAAGCAGTGGTTTCATGAGGCTTGTGTGCAATGCCTTCAAAAGCCAATGTTATTTGGAGACAGGTGAGAAGGGCATTTGAACTTTACTGTTTGATTTTTTTCTTTTTTCTTTTTAGCTTTTTAATTGTAGTTATATTTTCAGTTTCAGATTTCTAGTTTTAACAGTGATTTGTAAAGCAGACACCTTAGAGGGAAAATATTGAGTAATATACTTAAATTATATATCATTTTTAAATAACATAATTTTTGTACTTTTAGATGTTATTCCAATAAGCATTTAAGTATTTGATTAGTGATTGCATTTGCTCATATCACCCCACAGTGTTCTAAACTATTCTCATTGGTATCTTCCTTTAAAGAACCTCAAAGGGATCCTATGACAGAAAATTGGAAAAGACCAAAGAACCTTGATACACACAGGTCATACCTCAGATTTAAAGAATTTCTAAAGGCAGATTTAATGTGATTTCTGGATTAAGAGAATGTGGAATAGCAGAGAGAAGTCTAGGAAGAAAAATTAAAGGTAGAGCACTAAACTTGGCATCAGAAATCTGGTTTTAAATCTTGACTTATGTCGTGTACCATCTTTCCGAATTTAGGAAGGTCAGCTCGTCTCCTCTGGATTTATTTTACCAGATTGTTTTAAGCATTAAAGATAACAATGTAGATGAGTAGCCACCACAATTCCTGATACACACAAGCCTTTAGTAAAGTATGCTTGTATATGAATCAATGTATGAACTCTGAAGATTTCTAATGGTTAAAAAAGGAATGTGTGTTCTCCCCAGATATGAACTATTTCATTATTTGTCATTACTGGAAAAGAAATTCTTTAAATCACAGACAAGGTCATAATTCAAATTATATTTTGCTCTATCATTCCTTGTGTCACCTGTAGGATATGCATTTGCTGAATATTAGCTTTAATTGATAAATAATTTATGTATACCATTGATTATTTAATGTACAACTTTTTCTTTTTCTTTAGGTTTTATACATTTATTTGTTCTGTCTGCAGTTCTGGACCTGAATACCTCAAACGTCTACCATTACAGTGGTAAGTGAGGACATTTCTGTTAAGGAACAAAAGCACCATATTCTTAAACTTACATGATGAAATTTTATATATACATTTACTTGGCTTAAATAAAAATTTGATCTTCTTTATACCTGGCTTTATTTCTTTTATTTATCTTCAAACCTGATGTTAATCTTCACTGATAATTATCTAGTTTTATTGCTAAAGTAATAAGGCCATTTATTTATTAATGATATAAAATGTAACTTTTAAAAATATTTTTTAGATCTTCAAAACATTTTTAGTTCTTTTGGGCCTTCAGAATAGCATACAGTAAAAGAAAGTTCTTATTATAAATATTCCAGTTTCTGCTTCAGTGTAGTAATTGGGCATGGGAAGTATGATGAATTTTGAGGATTTAATGATAAAATGTTACGTAGTAGTTCCCCCTTATCTGTGGGGGATACGTCCAAGACTCCAAGCGCATGCCTGAAACTGTGGATAGAATCAAACTATATTACACTGTGGTTTTTCCTATACATAACTACACTTGACAGCTTCTCTTTGGTGAATTATTAGCATCACTACTCTTGGCCTTTGGGCCCATTGTACCGTAAAATACAGCTTACTTGAATACAGCCACTGAGATACTGTAACAGTTGATTTGATAACCAAGATGACTACTAAGTGACTAATGACTGGGTATAGTGTATGCAACCTGGATACACACAAGGATGATTCACAGGTGGGACAGAGTGGGGTGGCACAAGATTTTATTATGCTACTCAGAATGGTGCACAGTTTGAAATTGAGGAATTGTTTATTTCTGGGATTTTCCGTTTAATATTTCTGAACTGTGATTGACCACAGGTAACTTAAAACATTGAAAGAGTACATACTTAGAAATTTTTATTAAATGTTTTGTATATTTTAGGAAATAATAACACTTGTGAATGTGCTAAAGTCTATTAAAGTATAATCTGTAGTTTGTATGTAGTAGTGAAACACAAAATTTTTTATTGTATAAGCATTATACAGCATTATCCAATATTTTTGGAGTTAGATTCTTTTTTAATGCATTTTAACACATTATTCAAATACCTTTAGTTTATAGTTACTTCAGGATAACTAAATGTTTAGTTAATGCTTTCCAATAATTATCAATGAAATGATTTATTACATCATAAATATTACTTAGAATATTGACCCTCTGTTCACCTAAATATTCCACATTGGTTTTTTAAATTGGTGGTGTTATAAAAAATTGTGTATTTTTTTTTAAACAGTTACCAAAAACATTGTTTTTGTATATTTTGATTACTTTTGGATTCCAGGGTAGATATAGCACACTTATGCCTTTACAACCTAAGTGTTATTCACAAGAAGAAATACTTTGATTCTGAACTTGAGCTCATGACATACATTAATGAAAACTGGGATAGATTGCACCCTGGAGAGGTAAGTGGTTTTAGATCTAACTATTAGCTACTTGATATGGTTTGTTTTATTTTGTTTTAATTAAAAGAAACTAAGACACATGTATGAGCCACACATCTAAAGTAGAATTTTACTTTTAGTTCAGGGAGAAGTAGCTCTGGTAAGATTATCAAGACTAGCCCTTTCATCGTCTTATATGTTGCCTGTTGATTAGGGGGAAAATGTAGGAGGAGAAAGTAAATTTATAAAATGTTAAAATTTTAGTTAAGAGGCCGAGAACAGAAAACAATAAAAATCATAATTAGACTATTTTTAAAGAAATGAGTTCACTTTATGAATTTCAGGTATCTCAGTTACAGCCAAACTTCTGATAAATATCAGAAGAAATTTATTTCAGCAATAGATACAAATCTTCATTTCTCTGTAGTTGGTGAGATAATGTCTTAGAAACAAGAAGTTTCCATTTTTTATTTTTTGACAGTGGAAAAATGTTTTTCTTTTTATTTAAAAATTAGGAAAAACATTATAATCAGATAAAACTTGATAACAAAAATATTTTTGCATTTTATTTTGAACCAGTTTCTGCTTCAGTGTAGTAATTTTTGGGCATGGGAAGTATGATGAATTTTGAGGATTTAATGTTCAGAACAGTCATTCGAATCATTTCTCATTGTTCATCCTCTGCACTTAAAAAAGAAAAAGAAAAGAAAATGTCCAGACTTCTTAGATTAGTCTGGACTAACCTGGTTGTTTACAGATGGAACTTCAGGTTTTACTTCTTTGTTAACTTTCTACATCTTTATATAATAAAGAGACCATAAAATTTATGCGACTCGTTAATGTTTATTCAGTGATTTTAATTTAGTTCATTTAAAAATTTTTTGTGGTAATAGAAATCATTCCAGATTATTAAAATAGTAAATAAATCTCTAGTTAACTGAAATTGAATTGCAAATTAAATTTTGTTACTAATTCAGGGGGAAAAAAACTTTGTTTATACCTGTGTTCAACATTTATAAAACAGCAATTACTACCTTCAAAATGTGGGAACTACAGTATGCTATGTACATATCGTTGGCTAATTGACTTCCTTGGAGTACTCAGGGGTCCTTTTGAACATCAGCTCTTACTATACATGTGACATACGCACTTACTCTATAAGTTTTTCCCTGGAAATGACACAGAGCAGGAAAGTAGTTGTCATTTTACTCTCTCAGATATGGGCTTTCCTCCCTTATTCCATTGAATAAAAAGGAAAAAAAAATCTTGTGATGATTTGAGAAGTTTTTTATGGCATTTTGTTTAAGTACTTATAAAAGACACCTAGTCAGGGACACACTCCTATTTATCATTTCTGACCTGCATTATAACGTATTTACATGTGACAATGGGCTAAAGTCATACAGTATTCTATGTTGAGAAGCCATATAAGCATCTATTTACATTTATTTATTTATTTACTCGTTTATTTATTTATTTATTTAATACGTGTTGGAATTATACCCAGATTGCTTTTTTTTTTTTTTTTTAAAGATTTTATTTATTTATCTTTAGAGGGGAAGGGAAGGAGAGAGGGAGAGAAATATCAATGTATGGTTGCCTCTCGTGCATCTTGTGCTGGGAACTGGCCTGCAACCCAGGCATGTCCCCTGACTGGGAATTGAACCACAATCCTTTGGTTCGCAGGCCCACGCTCAATCCACTGAGCTTCTCCAGCCAGGGCTATTTACATTTCTAATAGGAGCAATTGTATGTTGAAATGACGGTATCTGTTTAGTGTTCTGTGCTGCTTCTTTTTTTTATTGTATAAAGGAAGTATTATGACCTCTTTTAATGACAAAAAAGTTTCAAAAACATTAAACTTTTGGAGAGTATATCCTTTCATACTGAAAGGCAAATTTAACATTTATGTAGCATATGTATATTTCAGTTGATTACTCTATGATTTCTGTGAAGAGAAGCTGAAACTTACAGAACATATTCTAGAACACATAATTTGATATGTTTCCTTACATAAATTGTTGGGGTTGTTTGCTTGTTTGTTTACATCTTTGAGAGTTAGTGACTTCATGATGATATAAATTGAGTATAGCTATTTTAGAAAACTATGTTTTGAAATATTTTATTTGGGTTAGTAAAAATTTGTAATACAACATTTGAGACCCCAAGTAAAGCTTGCTTAAGGTTTTTATTTAGAATTGCTGTTGTAACGAATTTTTGTGGGGAGTTAAAATGAAATACTGATATTTTATGGAATCTGTCTGTTATTATTTGTTTTTGATTCCTAATCTGATTTTAAATATTAGTCCTGGGAGGACAATTACTTTTCTGTTAACTGTGCTAGTCTTAACAGTGTGTTGAGTATCTCACTTTTGAGGGATGTAGGGGAAAAAAAGCATAGATAAAACTCAAATGAAATTTCATGGCAGAAATGATGTTTTGGCCAGAGGAAAATGTAGCATAGTAGAAGTAGTATACTAAGAAATCTAGTTTAAAAAATATGTGGGGCCTTGAATATTATATGGTAGCATACAGTGTATATGTCTGTAAACAAATTACTTAAGATGTTTGTCATGTTTAAGCCATTGTGGCATGGAATTCAACATGAGTGCTTGAAGGGTATATTTTGTTGAAGTAAAAGAGGTATAACTGTACGTAATAGCATTTATATGTGTACAGAAATATACAAAGCCCTGAAAATAAAAGCGCGGTGTGAGAATGGTCTTCTCATATAGATTATTTGATGTACACTATAATAGTTTCACTCTTTTATAATAGTGTTTAAAATACAGAATGGGATCCCTTCATTTATATGAATTGAAGTATAGTCCTATGCCAAATAGAACAGTAATGTTAAAGGAACTTAACAGATAAAATTTCTGAGAACCATAGAGAATAAATACTAAAGGAAAGATAGTAGTTCATTGTGATTCTTCAAAAGTAGAAAGGAGTAGATCTGAGAAATTAGAAAGTCAGTTTTGTTGTTGGTTGTCAGCTAAATTGTAGAGCACATTTTTCACATACACAGTTTGTGAAGAATTAAGAAGCAATAAGAAAATAATACCTGGAGCACGGGCCTGCAAACCAAAAGATCGCGGTTTGATTCTCAGTCAGGGCACATGCCTGGGTTGCAGGCCAGTTCCCAGCAGGGGCCAGTTCCCTGCAGGGGATGCACAAGAAGCAACTGTACATTGATATTTCTCTCCCTCTCTCCTTCCCTGCCCTTCTAAAGATAAATAAATAAAATAAAAAATATTTTTAAGAAAGAAAGAAAATAATGCCTGATATATTAGAATAAATCATGTTAAATACTCTAGATTTTTTATTTAATTTGTTTATTTTTAGAGAGGGGAAGGGAGGGAGAAAGAGGGAGAGAAACTTCAGTGTGTGGTTGCCTCTCAAGTGCCCCCAACTGGGGACCTGAGCCACACTATCCAGTACCCTGGATTCTTTTTTGTCATGATTAGCAAAACTGTTGTGGGCATGATGTAGCCATAGTACAACACAACTCAATTTCATATGAGATACTGAAATGTGAATAGTTAAAGCAAAAATTAAGTAGATTTGTAACTAATTGAATTATAGTAACAAAAGCAGTCAATGACTTAGAAATATTCTTGAGGGAGAGTCTAATGGAGAGAGCCCCAGGTTCTCTCTTTGACTCTACTCTTAGTATGACAGAATCAAGAGAAAAGATCATTTGAGCACTTAGCTGCAAACAAAATCAGTTATAAAGTTCTGCTCTTAGATTTAAATACATAAAAAGTACAGAAGAAGCATGTATGATAGGGGATATTTTATTTGACAGAACTTCATTTGATCAGATTTTAGAGTTGGGGAGGGGATGGGGGAAGGATGATGAAAGATGGAATTAGTCAGCCAGTGCTTAATATGAAATACTCATGTGGTGTTGCTGCTAAAAACTTCAACCTAATCTTATACTTAGACATGATAGCTGCTGTCAAATATTTGAAGAACTATCTTGTAAAAGAGGGAATAGAAGAATTCCAGGAAGGAAAGTTTCGTGCACCTATGGAATGGGCTCTCTCAGTAGGTGCCTCATCAGCTTTCATCAATGGTAATAGTTAAGCCAAGGTTCAATGACATTTGAAGTCTCTTTCGAGCTTTAAAGTCTGATTCTGTTATTTTTGCTTTAATAGAAATTCTTTATAATTAGACACTTCATAAATTACAATAGGAGAAAATGGTAGAATGATATGGAGGGATGAGCACAAAACTGCCCCCCCCTTTTTTTTTTAGCATCAGCATATTGGCGCAGGGTTGGTTCTCAGTGAATGGCAAATGAATGGATTAATTGTCATTTGGGTGCAGGGTCTGGTTCTCTCACTAACCAGCCCTGTGGATTTGAGCAGTTCATTTCATCCCTATATGTGTTAAATAATAACAAGTTGGAGTAGATGACTGTAAGTCTTTTACCTCCAGCATTCTCTTTGGCAGGTTTGTTTGCTCTTTTTACTAGAAGCAGTTCTGAGGTTTGGAAGTTTTAACTGGTTAAAACATAATTGGTATAATTTTGAAAGTCAGCTATGATATTTTGAAAGTTTTTTTGTTTTGTTTTGCTTTGTTTTTGTGGCTTTAATAGAGGATGGCCCTTTTGTAATTTAGATTCCGACCCCCACTCTGGTGCCACAGTGTTTAAACTGAAGAGACAGAAATGACTCTGCAGGAAACCCTTTTGAAACAAAATAGAATATTTTATAGAATTAATTCAAATTTAGTTAGATTTTTAAATGGTTTTGATGATAAAAAATTGCTGAGTTAATTTTGGTTTTATTGCGAGGTGGAATCTATAATTGTTATAAAATGAAATCCCCAAATTTCAATTAAAAAAACTTTTTTAAAAGATTGATTAATCGGTTTATTTATTTCTTGAAAGGATTTGTTTGTTTGTTTGTTTGTTTATTAAAGATTGGGGATGGGAGGGAGAAAGAACAGGAGAGAAATATCAGTCGGTTGCCTCTCCTATCCATCCCAAATGGGAACATGGCCTATAGTTCAATCATGTCTCCCGACCAGGAATGGAACCATCTACCTTTCACTTTTTGGTATGATGCCCACCCAACTGAGCCACATGGGTCAAGGTCCCACATTTTACAGTTTTAAAAATTATAGCAATTATCAGTTTGTACTAATACTAGAAGTACTGGGAAGTGAAATGATATGTTCACTCATACCATTTCACTTCCTCACCATATGCACTATCTGTTAGAAGCTTTTATGGTTGATATTAATATAATTCAAATGTATTATTTTTCTAGGTTATAAAATGAAAATAAATTTAATGATAACCTCATTTTTGTAGTGTTACATAGTTTATATCGATAGTTCTTTCAGATATATCATTTAATCCATACAATTACTAGTAAAGTAACTTGTGCGGGATTTATACTCCCCATTTTTTAATAGATGAGAAAACAAGCCTTGAGAGGTTAAGCGAACTTAGATCTTCTATCAGTCAGTACACTTCTCTTCTGTGTTACATTGCCTCTACCTAGCACCTGTATATTACTAATTGATGAAATTAAACTACGTTAAATTGTTTCTTGATACTTCACAGCTGGCAGACACACCAAAATCTGAAAGATACGAGCATGTTCTGGAGGCATTAAATGATTACAAGACAATGTAAGTTGATTTACTTTATGTATCCCTATGAAGGAGACTTTATTAAGTATAAGGAATAATGGCATGGTTTAAGAATCGTGGGATTTGTGTGTAGAACTCATACATACAATTTTAACATTTCTAATGTCCTATTCTCTTTCAGTTAGACTACAGCATTGGTTTTCAAGGATCAGAGAAGGGAAGAGCAGTCCTATAGGAAGGGGGCGTGGGAGGTGGCATATCAGTGTCTCGGGGCAATTTGACCTGGTCATTTGAAAAAGTGTAGTCAGTAATGACTTGTTTTTATATTGCACTCTACTGAAAGTAAAATAAAATCTTGTTAGCTGGTGGAAATATGCAAAGGTAGGGAAATATATTGTAGAGAGAATACGGGTTTTTAAATGAGGTCTTTCATGGTTTTAAAATTAATTATTGCCATCAGGTATAGAAAAGTAGTATTAGTGGTCTGAGTTTTGATAATGAAGTTATATTGTTTAATATTTTCTTATCTGGGTCTTTCCTTTGTTAAAAAACCCCAGTATATCTATATTTCTTTAAAATATTTTCATAATACAATAGAAATACATTTTTAAGTGTATATGCTGGCTCCAGCCACTGAGTTACATTATAAAATTTCTGTAACGAGTTCCTGTTTTTTTACTTGACTGCATGCTTTTTCTCATTTTTAAAAAATGTTATTACTAGCAGCTAGATCTTTAGACTAGCTCAAAAAGCCATAAAGTATCTGAGCAGTTACTGTGTTGATAAAAATACTTAATGGAACAATGAATTCTGTAAGTTTAGGGTGCCAGAAATATATGTGTTACTGTTATAGAAGAAATGGGAGCTTTCCTTTTTCACCCCTACATAAAAGAACAATACAAGCATTTAATAGTTGTTCTGTGGCTAAGCAGGCAGAGCTCAGACCGATTGGAGTGTTTTGGAATAAGGACCCTAAATGCTTTTGGGGGAAGGGTGAAGAGCATGTTTTTCAGAGATCCAAGCCCACACTGAAGTAACATGTCTGTGCTCCAGGTTATTTCCAATTTCAGATCTGACACACTGGGTATCCCTTTTATTTTCTGGCCTTCTAGAACTGGTTTTCTACTTTCTTTAACAATGTTATTACCTGTTGTTTTCTGGCCATAGTTTCTCACAGATACATTTCAAATACACTTCTTCTTTTCTTATACTTTTGGAGATATTTTTAACAGAAGGCACTAAAATCTGGAAAAACATAATGGGACTAACGAGACACCACTCTATACTCTCCTTTAAGAAGTTAGATGCCATGTTTTTAGAAGAAGGTGGACATGTGCTCTTCCCTCTTCCTTCTGATCCTATCCCTCTCTCCCTATTCTTCCATCATATCCTACTGTGGACTGGCCCTGGGGCAGATAATAATCAAGGAAAGCAAGGGGAAAGAGTGAGTATTGGGTGGACTTCCATGTATAAAGGCTTCATATCTGAAAGTTGAGTTATGGTCTGCCATGTATGTATGTTCAGTTTTAAAATTTTTAGTTAATTTTTTTAAAAATTTAGGTTTATGTCTGGGAAAGAAATAAAGAAGAAGAAGCATTTGTTTGGGTTGCGAATTCGTGTTCCTCCTGTGCCACCAAATGTGGCTTTCAAAGCAGAGAAAGAACCTGAAGGAACATCCCATGAATTTAAAATTAAAGGCAGAAAGGCATCCAAACCTATATCTGATTCAAGGTAAAAGTTGATCTGTGGCTTAGTTTTTTTCTTTAGCTTATTTGTAACTAAAAATGTGTGTTTAGTCTTCATTAGTATATTTTGAAAGTACAAGTGGTAGTTACCCTGATTTGTTTTACTGTTTATAATTTTTTGCTTAGACAAAAAGGTACAAAGAGTTAAGGTACAAAGGTAAAGAGTTAATGCTAGATGTTTATTTATTTTAGATCTTAGGTTTTCCAGGAATAAGCCTGACTGATGTGGTTAGCAAACAGCTTGAGTTTGCTGTTAGCCTGTTTATTTGTTTGTTTACTTCTCATTTATTCATTCATTTCATTTATCAAGCCTCTTACTATCTAAGTGCTGGGGATACAATAACAAACAGGACAGAATTCCTTTCTGCCTTGTTGGGGTATACATTATAGTGGGGAAGAAAAGTGATAAAATAATTATAGGTCATGCTAGTGCCATTTTGGAAATAGCATACAGATTTAGACTATACTGGGATGGATAGAGAGCATTGGTTCTAGTTAATTTAGGAAGAAGGATTGAGGGAGGCCTATTTACATTGAAACTTTAAAAATGAGAATGACCTAATAATTTGAAGAATGAAGGGAAGAATACTCCAGTAGCAGAAATAACAAGTATGAAAGCCGTGAGGCATGTTCTGGGAAGTCTTAGGATTTGGAGGTAAGATTAGGGCTGGAGAGTAGCAGCAAGTGTTGGAAAGGTTGGGTGGGGCATGATCATATAGTCTTTCAGGTGTCATAAGGACTTTTGGTTTCCTACAAATAATGAGGAACTGTTTAAAGATGTGAGGATTGGATTATCCTTTTAAAGTACCTCTTTGGAAAAGATAGGTATAAAGTTAGGAACAGAAGCAAAAGAAAATGAAATTAAACCCCTTAAAGTTGTCTAGGTAAGAGATAGACTGCTTGTGCAGTGGTAGGTGGTAACAGTGAAGTGGAGAGAAAATAGGTTGAGGATCTCTATTGGCAGCAGAATTTAGTGGCTTTTGTAAATGAATTAAATTTATGAAAGAAAGGGAAGAATGAAGTTAAACAATGCCTAGATTTCTGACTTGAGCAACTGGTGGGTGGTGGTGTCTGTTACCAAGATCTGAAAGAACAGAATTTGGCAAGGCAAATTGAAGCATTCTTCTGTTTCATACTCATTGAGTTCAGGATTCTTAAGGGGGATTTCTAAGTGATGATGATGTTAAGGATAGGCAATTGGGTGTGTAAGTCAGGAGCTCAGGAGAGGTCAGGACACATGATATAAATTTGGAAGCCGTGAGAATGAATGAAATTACCTAGGGAGCAAGAAGAGAGAAGAGACTGTGGCCCAGAACAATGCACTGATTTTATTTGGAGATTTGGAAGAGGTAAAATAAAAGAAAGAGATTAAAAAACAATGATCGGTGACACAGGAGGAAACCAAGAATGTTTAGTGTCAGAAAAACCAAAGAAGGTAGTGTTTCAAGAAAAATGGGTGTGTTAAACAATATTGAATGCTACTAAAAGGTGAATTAAGATGAGAGAAAATGTTTATTGGATGACATTCTGTTAGTAAGTGACCTTGACACAATTTTTTTTTTAGAGGTAAAGATAGAATTCAGATTGAAGTGGGCAGAAGTGTGATTAAATATTGCATTGCCCAATGTACATGTCAGAACTGGGCTTTTTCTACAAATAAAGGGCATAGGGAGATTCAAAATTGATAATAATAAAGGAAAAGGAAAGAATTTTTTAAGAATTCTGAGTGAGAAAGGAGAAAGTAGAAAGGGTATGTTTCTTCAAATCTCAGGTAGTTTTACTGTGAAGGGATGTAGACAAATGAAACTGAAGAGGCATAAGGGAGTAATCAAGTGATAATTTTTAATAGGTGGAGGTTAATTGGAACCTTTTTTTGGGGGTGGGGGTGCTAGTAGGAATGATACAGTGGAAAAGAAGAGATTGGTGTAGGAGATAGGGAAGGTAATTGAAGATGTTGTCAAGTCTTTGGGAAGCCAAAAGGGAAGGGATTTTAGAGCCTTAATGTGGGAGTGACCTTTGATAGGAGGATTTACACCTTTCTGTTGAAATGGGTGAAAAAGGAGAAGATGGGTACAGATGCTGGTTCTCTTGTAGATTTGCCACTCAGAAGATGACTAAAGTTATTGTTGATAGCTTCTATTTTCTCAATGAAATAATGAGGTAAAGATAACTGAGAAGGAAGTAAAAGGTATGAGGTAGTCATCTTGGAGAGTAAGAAAATGTAATTACAGAGGGTTGACACTGCTTTATATCATTTGAGTTTGTAATAAAGTAAGTACTACATCAAGATTTTTTTTGCCCTGCAGGAAAGAATATGCGTTCTTATTACTTGCAAATTTTATTATTAATCATTTGCTAGCAGTTGCCCATATTATAATTAGGAGGAGGTTTGCACAAACTTTCTCATTCCTATCATGAATTTAATAGGACACTCAATTTGTGGTAGCTGTCAGGTGATTTGATGCCACCAGGTAATGGTTGGCTTTCTTTAAAGGCTTTCTTACTTCTTTCTGGGCCCCATGTATGAACTGGTCCTTTTAATCAGAGAGTACTTTCCTCAGTGTAGGGGTCGGTCTGTTATAAATGTTATGTGATCATCTTTCAGAAAAGATGTATGTTCTCTCCATCTTATCATTAAGACTTTTGATTATAGTTTTAGTTAAGGTTTGTTACTCTAGTTCTCCTACTTGTATATACTTCCACCTTGATTCCCCAACCTTAATTTGGTGTCTGGAGGGAGAGTCTTTCCTACTTTTCTCCATTTACCCCTTCCAGCCTATTGTATATTATTTTCCCTTCTTTTTATTTGTTTTAATTTCATTTTCCTGGGTAACTTTCTTATAGTGCTTTACCCATTTTATTAGCTTGCTTGTATACACATTTGTCACCTTCTAACTATATTGTGAACCCCTTTGCACAGGGAACATCTTGGTATTCCTATTATCTCCTTTATATGAGAATATTGAATAAAGTAGATATTTTTATTGATAGTACCCTTTTTTTCTTCTTTTGTAGTAATTAGGGGTATTCTTGACTATTGCTTTATTTCTTGGTATTGCTTGATATTTGTCTTTATATTTCAAAAATGGTTTTCTAGATCTTTCTTATTTTGCCCTTTGAATGACCCACTCACTGCCCGACATGAAGGATTCTTTGCTCCTTTACCTGCCTCTGTCACCCTGGGTTTCATTCTCTTTCTGATGAGCATCATGCAAGAACTGTACTTCCAAGTTTTATATATATAAAATTTGGATATATACATCTAAAGGCAGCCTTTATAGACATTGTATTTTAACATAGATACTTCTGGCTGTATGAAACTAACTACTGAATTCCTAAATGCTTTTAATAGTAAATCCTTGGGACTTTTAGGAATTCTGAACTCTTCCATTCTAAATAGTCTGCTTTTTGCTTTTTAAAAAATTTTTAAGTGGTATATATTTTTTATAAGTGTACTAAAGAAATTTTTTATTAAATCTTTTATGTGTAAATATCTCTAAGTCAAGAAGTATTTAAATTAGAATTTATTATTTATGTATTTGAACAAACTTGTGGATTCAACTAGTTTATTGTTTTTGTATTACTATTAATATAAAATAAAATAAGTATAACCTAATTATGTAGGTAGAGATGTGACTGTATATAATCCATTTTTCCCTCATTATGCAGAGATTAAATATATAATAATTTTACATTTCAGGGAAGTAAGCAATGGCATAGAAAAAAAAGGAAAGAAAAAATCTGTAGGTCGTCCACCTGGTCCATATACAAGAAAAATGATTCAGAAAATAGCTGAGCCATCTTTGGTAAGAAAATATGTTGGTATATGTTCTCAGAGAAGAAGAATGCTTGAAATAACTGAGAGATTAGTAACTTTTCAGCTGATTTTAGAACCATGTTGTGTGTGTGTGTGTGTGTGTGTGTGTGTGTGTGTGTGTGTGTGTGTGTATATATATATATATATTTGTTTTTGGTTTGTTTGTTCGTTTGTTTTTCAGGATAAGGAATCAATTTCAGAGAACCCTACCTTGGATTTACCTTGTTCTATAGGGTAAATAGAAAGTTATTTTCTCCTATCCTAGGAATTTTCTTTTGGGTAAAATTAGTATTTCTGTTGTTACGTAATACAGTCATTTTACCATTTAATTTTTTTTTCTCAGGAGAACTGAGGGGACTGCACATTCATCTAATACCTCAGATGTGGATTTCACGGGTGCTTCCAGTGCAAAAGAAACTACCTCGTCTAGCATTGCCAGGCATTATGGGTAGATATTTTATGTTCTTATTCTTTGTTAATTTTCCTGTAGACTCTTTTCCTTTGTGAAGTGATGATAATAAATTTTTTTCCAACTGAAAGTGATACAAGTATGTTTTTCACTGATACAGCTATGTTTTTCACCCTTTGAGAAGTAATCCATACGTTGATTCCTTAGGTTGTTAATATTCATTTGAATAATACTGCTTTTCAGAGCCCAAACATTCAGATTTTCAAATGTGTTAGAAAATTTGCTATGTGCATAGCGAAGAGGTATACTAATGTTTATAAGCTGGGGTTTTATTTTTTTTTTTGAGAGACCTTTTTATGTTTTTGATATACAAGAGTGCCTTGATTTAGAAAGGCTTATTATTACTATTATTATTATTATTACTATATATTTTTGTAAGTTCCCATTGGGAATGTAAGTTCTTTGGTTAGTAAAAGGATTTTTAAGCTCAGGATTTTTATCAGTAGCAGATTTAATATTTTATTTAACATACTCTTCAGAAAGATGACTTTTCCCTCAAGTGTAATTATCAGTTATGAAAAGTTTTGTTTACTTGGGGTCAGAGTTATAAGCTTCCAAAAATTACTTTTTGTTTAATTTTTGTTCACAATTTAAGAACTGCTCTTGTAAATTATATAAAATTCTAAGTATTTAAAAGCTTAAAATGTAACATTTTAAAATGAATCATGAATAATAATAAGGTATGTTATTTTTTGTCTTCTTACCAAGTATTATGCTAAGCTTTTTACATACTGTTTTAGTTTTTTTTTTTTTTTACCCTCACCTGAGGACATGCTCATTGATTATAGAGAGAGGGGAAGTAAGGGAGAAAGAAAGGGAGAGAAGTTTTGACTCATTGCCTCTAGTACTGGCCCCACCCAAACCTACAACCTAGATATGTAATGTACCCCGACTAGAAATCGAACCCAAGAGCTTTCAGTTTACAGGATGATGCTTCAAGCAACTGAGCCACACTGGCCAGGGCTGTCTTACAATTCTGGAAACAATCTTTAGATTTTTAGGTCCTGGGTGGTTTTTTTGTTTGTTTGTTTTTGTTTGTTTGTTTCCATTTTACAGATAAGTAAACTGAGACTTAGAAGGTTTTAAGTAACAAACCCAAAGTAGCATGTTTAGTGAGTATTCAATATAACAGAGCTGAGATGTTAACCCATGTAAAATGATTGTAAAGTCTTTGAATTTAGCTGGTATGTTCTATTCTCCTTTTGTTAAGAAGGCCATAAAATCATTGACTTTTCGAGCCAGAAAGGACCTCAAAGATTATTTACTTCATCCCCTTCACTTAATCTATTTTACTTACGAGAACATAGCCCTGGCTGGTGTAGCTCAGTGGATTGAGCGCAGGCCTGCGAAGCACGTGATCACGGTTCGATTCCCAGTCAGGGCACATGTCTGGGTTGCAGGCCAGTTCCCTGCAGGCCAGTTCCCAGCAGGGGATGCACGAAAGGCAACCATACATTGATGTTTCTCTCCCTCTCTCCTTCCCTTCCCCTCTAAAGATAAATAAATAAAATCTTTAAAAAAATAAAATAAAAAAATTAAAAAAGAGAGAACATAGAAGGTAAGAAATTTGAATTTGACCAGTATTATATAGAGCTACACCCAGTATACCCTGCTTCTAGTTTGTGCTTACTCCAGTTCATTTCATTACTTCACCAGGCTTAGAACTGATAATCAGACACCCTTTATTCTAGTTTTATAATCTCTTTAAGCACATGGCACAGTGTCTTATACATAGTAGGTGCTTATTGTTGTCACATCAAATAAAGGAACTGAGTTTTTTGTGTGTGTGATTGTATGTGTTTTTTAAATGATAAAACAGTTGACAAAACCTGACTTATGATTAGGTCCTTTGGTAAGAATTTGACTCAGTCTCATAATTAAAATTTTTCCTATGATTCTTTTAAGTTTAATAGAACATAGTTAAGGAAGAAAAGCTCTTCATAGGTCAGCCACAGAAGATATGGAATCTTAACAGAGGCAAATAGTGGTCCATTTATATGGCGTTTATTGTTTTGATTTGACTAATTTTTGTCACCAGGGTATATACTTGTAACAGAGTGATAGAAAGCAGAGAACATGTTCTGTGTGCATGTGGATGCTTTGTAAGTTTAGTGACAACATTGGCCTTTTTTTCTTCCATAGTTTATCTGACTCCAGAAAAAGAACTAGAACAGGAAGATCTTGGCCTGCTGCGATCCCACATTTACGGAGGAGAAGGGGTCGTCTTCCAAGAAGAGCACTCCAGACTCAGAACTCAGAAATTGTAAAAGATGATGAAGGCAAAGAGGATTACCAATTTGATGAACTCAACACAGAGATTTTGAATAACTTGGCAGATCAGGAGTTACAACTCACTCATCTAAAAAACTCCATTACCAGTTATTTTGGTGCTGCAGGTAGAATAGCATGCGGTGAAAAATACCGAGTGTTGGCGCGTCGGGTGACACTTGATGGAAAGGTGCAGTATCTTGTGGAATGGGAAGGAGCGACTGCGTCCTGACTGTAGGACTGAACATTATGTTCACTGCACTGTCATTCTCTGTAGGTACAGTTCAAAGCCCTAAAGAAGCCTGGCTTTTACTATCTTTCTTTAAAAAAGTCAAAAAATTCCCAAAAGAAGATGATACTAGCCTTAACGTGTGTGTACCTGTCAATGTTATGGATATTGTGATAAAAAGATATCTTTTAAAAATCAGAACAGAGACTTAATTTTTTTAATCTTAAGATTTGTAGAATGTTTCTAGGATAGGATATTAAAAATGATTCAAATCCATGCATGGTGTTAGGTAATTTTTCTAATTATTCCATTGAGTCAGATTTTGTGATTAGTGAGTATCAGCAAACAGATCATGTAGTTAGATAGCACAAGTATTTGAAAAAATTGTGTTTTGTTACCAAAATGTTGGAAAAAAATTATTTCAATACCCTTTAGATTTCATAAAGTGCAGTGTATATAATGCCTATTAAAAGACTGTAAAATATTGAAATTTTCTTTCAAGCAAAATGTAAAAAAATATATTGAGCCTGTAAATTGCTCTGTGACTAGACTTCATTGTCGTCTTAATATATTCTTTGCATGTGCATATATATATACACATGTGTATATATATGTGTGTGATTATGTGACCTATGCAATACAAATTATGGGAATGGGCAGCTTTGGAGTATATATCCCATAATTCTTTTTTCAGGAATAGTTGCAGTATTTACACAGCAGCATTTCTTCTCAGGCTTTTTTGGGTGCTGTTGCTTGCTATGTATGAAGAGAAATGTGTCAGACGAGTTTAGTGTGTTCTGAAAAAGGGTGTGAACAACATTGTTCATGGGCTTTTAGATGCTTTTCTCTTTCAGTCCTTGTAACTCAGCTGTTCAGTACCTAAAACAAATTCAAATAATATGAACATTATCTCCTACTAGAAGTGACGTTTTCAAGTTTTCATGGCACATTATGATTGTAAATGTCTCTCAGTTTTAACAGTAAGTCTTTGGGAGTCCTGTGAAGATTCCTGAAATGTCTGTAGTAACTGTTAGTCATGTTGAATAAGTGTAGTATGAACAAAGTATTTTATTGCACAGGGTTAACAAACAGTGTGTCGCCTGCCAAGGCTACAGCTGTTTTATTACAACATTACCTCTTGTTTTTATGAAATGTACCAAGATTTAAATTGATAACTTTATTTTACATGTAAAAAAAAAAACGATTTCTTTTATCACCAGTGTTAGAGTTGTCTTCTGATTTATTTTTCTTTTGTTTTTGTTTGTTTTCTTTTTTAGCCAAAGAGTAAACAGAAGAATTATCTCATTTTGGTGGCTATTCATTGTATTCTTAAAAGTGATTGGTGGATTTTAGCTTAAAAATTGGGGAATTTGCTGCCAAAATGAAAAATATATAAAGTGTAGTGATTACAGAGCGGTAAAAATGTGGGTTAGTACTTATTTATTCCATTGATTGATTATTTGACTGTTTATAAAGAAAGTTGCTTTATTTCTTTAAACATCTTCAAAAGATGATCTTTTCTTGTCATATTATAGCCAAAAGAAGCAGAGAACTTCGTTGCCCTGCGTTTGGTTCCTGGTTGGCCAGGTATAAATGAGCTTTACAAAAGTGCGAATTAAAAACTGTCTCTTCTGTTTACCTCCACCAAAACTTGATTTCCCCCTAGCTATTAATTTAAAGTTGCCTTTCCTGCAGCTGCAATATTTTGAATAACACACAGAGTTTGTGTTGATTTTGAATGTTTGTTTATATCTAGGGGTAATGGAAAATGTAAATCCCGTGTAACCTTACTTACTCCACTTGTATCATATTATTTCATTCTCCCCAAAGTCCTTTAATTCTAACTGAACACCAGCAGTATTTTTAGTAACTCTTTGGCATACTTGGAAGATGATTTATTAAGCTGAACTGTCTTTAGACGTAATTATTGTGAATGTCTGTTTTTATTTTATCACAGTGGTTCACATGGCTCTGATGTTCAGTTTGTATTTTTGGAATTGCTTTACTTAGAATTAAAACAGACCATTAAATGTGTGTATTTTTTAAAGAGCTAATGAGTTTTGGTTCTGTATTTGCTTGAAAATACACACTGGTACAGCAGATGACTACTTTTATTTTGCCAGGGAGCTAAGAGTTTTCCAATTCTGTTATAAAAATGTTCACGTGAATTAATCTTCATAAAACTTTGCTTTCATTTTTCTTGTCCCCCTAATAATATTAATAATTATTGCACAATAATCTTAAATGGTCCTTAAAATTTTACCTGTTTAGCCAGGTTTGTACACTTTATACTTGAAAGACAGTATACCTCCCTCTCTCTACCATATCCCTGAACTTGAACAAAATTCAGGCTTTTCAACTGTGGGTTTTTTTGTTTTGTTTTGTTTTGTTTTGTTTTTCTTACATAGAAGGTGTCAGGGATCAAATAAAAGAATTTCCTGTTTTTTGTTTTTTGTTTTTTTTTCCCTAAAAGCTTTGTACCTAGGCTACAGAAAGAAAAGATGTAAAAATAATACACCTTACTCTTTTAATTCCATTTTTGTTTCAAACAAATACATATTTATAAATACCCTGATAAAAAAATTATAAATATGGGTTCTTAGGCCCACAGGTTATCAAACAAGATTAGAACATGAGCTGTCAGAGTTAATCTATAAATTCTAATGTGGGGATGATGAAGTCAGATTTTGCTAGTTATATTTTATTACTTTATGTTCAACAGAAGTGAGTGTTGACGGATATGTGAGTTGAGGATACCTCTCCTGTTATTTTGCAAGATACGTCCAAGTAAGCGTGTTTGGTTTCTACTGTGAATACAGAAGATTTCTATTAGCAGTTTTGGGGGGTAGAACTAATTCTGTTTTGGGGGGTTACTTGATTGAGTTTCTATTAGATACTATTAAATTTTTATTGGAACATAATCTGACTTGCATTGTTGTAGCACACTGTTTTATAATGTGGTTCTAGAGTTGTTTGACAATGTGATGGCAAAGGAAGATGTCCATGCAACTTTGGGAAATAGTAAAAAAAAAAAAACCTGTGTGTGAGGATGTTTTCCTCTTTAATTACATTTGAGTATCTTTATGAATACACATTCCCAAAATTCTCCCTTGGTTTCCTCTGTGGCAGTTGGTGGGTCGTGTCCATTCCTCAGGAAAATAAAAACTTGACAGTTAAATGTAAAGGAAGAATTTTATCTGATCATGGATTCTTTTCTAACTAATAGCAGTTAAGATACCAGATGTCTGATAATCATTTGTAGGTGAGTTTGTTGTGGAAGCAGACTGGCTTTTGGAATAGCAAATAGATGGGTACAAGTACATTATTTGTAACCTTTAAATTATAGTATCAAAATGTCTTGGAGAAACAGATAAATACTATGTTGCCTTTATATTTGAAATTAGAATAGGAGTGCAAATGAACAGGCTCCCTCTTTTTTTCTCCTCTCCCCTCACTTCTACCCAACACAGTCCCTCTTTGCTCCCTTTGGAGATGACAAGTATTAAATCTGGATGGTTAGTAAGAGCTCCTCATTTTTGCAGCATCTTCAAGGAATGTGATGTCTCATTCAGGAAAACTTTCCATTGGATTTAAGCAAACATGCAAATGAACAAAACCTCCATAGATGAAAAACCATACATATTAAATAAAACAATATATTTTGTCATTATCATTAGTGTAATTTCCATTCCCACGGTATTCAGTCTTTATTTTTCTTAAACTCTAACTTGTTTAACAATAAGGGTAATGTAGTCCATAAACTGGCGTGCATTGATTCCTGAGAGGCAAGGAAATCTTACCGATCACCCTGATAAATCTAGTACCCATCTGACACTATATATAATTATTACAATATTGTTATCATTTTTAAAAAATTTTATTTTTAGGAAGAGAGAAAGGGAGAGAAATATGGATGTGAGAGAAACATTGATTGGTTGCCTCTCACACACTCCCAACTGGGGACCTGATGTATAACCCAAGCATGGAAATCGAACTGATATGCTTTTGTGCTGTGGGATGACACCCAACCCACTGAGCCATTTCAGTCAGGGCATTATATTATTGATTATATTCCCTGTTTACTACTATTCATCCACATGACTATTGTGTAACTACCAATTTGTACTTCTTAATCCCTTGCTCCTCTTCACCATCCCCTCTACCCTCCTCCCAATCTGGTAACCATCAAAATGTTCTGAGTTTCTTTCTGCTTTGTTTTTAGATTCTACATTTAAGTAAAATAATATAGTATTTTTCTTTTTCTGTCTGACTTATTTAGCATAATATTCTGTAGGTACATATGTTGTTACAGATGACAAAATTTCATTCTTGTGACTAATACATTGCATCTATGTACCGCTTCTTCAGAGCCACTTAGGTTGCTTCCATATCTTGCCTGTGGTAAATAATGCTGCAGTAAACATATGGATTAATATGTATTTCTGAATTAATTTTGGGTGTCTTCAGATAAAACCTAAATGTTGAATTGCTGGGTCCTTTGTCTCTTAATGTAGCCTTTGTTTTTAAGTCCATTTCATCTTGTATAAATATTGCTACCCACCTTTGTCCTTCATTTCCATTTTCATGAAATTTTTTTCCATTCATTTACTTTTAGCCCATGTGTGTCTTTTGATCTGAAATGATTTTCTTGTAGGTTTCATATGCAGGGGTCTTGTTTTCTTTTCCATTCAGCCACACTGTCTTTTCATTAGAACATTTAAGCATTTACATTTAAAATAATTGTTGATAGAGATGTAGTTATTACCATTTTACTGTTCGTATTCTTGGTATTTTATTCTTAAAGAAGTTTTTTTAACACTTCTTACAGTACTGGTTTGGTGGTGTCATTGAGTGTTCCTGAGTATCACAGGAGCAGCACTGACATTGAATTCATGGAACATACACACAGTGTAAGCAAGATCAGTCCTGTGAGACTAGTGAATGGATAGCTATGTTTTGGGGAACTTGGATGGTTTAGCCTTGAGGTCACATAGTCAGGGGTGGGTCTGTACATGCCCGTTGTCCTCTATTGACTCCCTTGTAGATGGTCCTCTATTGACTCCCTTGTAGATGGTCCTCTATTGACTCCCTTGTAGATGGTCCTCTATTGACTCCCTTGTAGATGGTCCTCTATTGACTCCCTTGTAGATGGTCCTCTATTGACTCCCTTGTAGATGGTTATGTTTGATCCTCGCTGCTTTTTGTTTGTGACCTGGGCTTGGAGAATTAAATAAAACTGGTTCATATTTTGTTATTTATTCAACCAAGGTTATTCAGCCCATCATTAATTATGTCAAATGCTGAAAAGAAAAAATATTGACAATATCTGAATGAATGTCTAGCAGGTAGTTTAAAGTAGTTTACTGTATCAATCAGGAGTTAAACGTAAGCTCACCAAAAAAATTGTACAAAAGAAATTAAGTTTCTTGAAGATAGAGGCCTAGGTAGATATGCTTTGCTTTTTCACACAACCAAAGAAAGATAACAACCAATTTAAAAACAAAAAACAACCAGAACTGCCAGAAAATAGAACTGTATGGAAGTCTTGACAACAAAGGAGTTAAAGAAGAAAGATTCATCCAGACTGGGAGGAGGGGTGGAGGGAGGCAGCTGGGGTGGGGAGGATGTGTAGTAAGGCAGCCACTGGTGCAGTCCCATATTCATGTGAAGATAAACCAGGAGGAACAACTGGGGAGTGAGACAGACCATGCAACCCAGCGTTCCAGCATGGGAAAATAAAGCCTCAAAACCGCTAACTAGAAAGCTGTGGGGGCTGTGGGGACTGTGGTGGCAGGAGAAACTACTGGTATCCCAGGAGAATCCATTGGAGAGACCCATTGGGCCCTAGAACATACACAAGCCCACCCACCTGGGAATCAGTACCAGGGCAGCAACTGGAAGGGCACAATTTGCTTGTGGGAAGCAGGAGAAGTTGCCTGAAAGCGGGGTGAGAGCCAAGCAAGCAACATTGTTCCCTCTGATTCCTCCACCACTTAAAGCACCACAGTACAGCAAAGTGTTGCCCTGCCCTACAAATACCTAAGGCTTTACTCCTTACATGTAACAGGTGCCGTAGACAAAGAAATATGGCCCAAAATGAAAGAACAGCTCAAAACTCCAAAAATAGAAGTAAGCTATGAAGAGATAGCCAATCTGTCAGAGGCACAGTTCGAGACACATAATCAGGATGTTCACAGAAATGGTTCAGTGTAGTCGAAAATTAGAGGAAAACGTGTAGGCTACGCAAAGTGAAATAAAGGAGAATGTACAGGGAATGTACAGAGACAGGAAGGAAAGTGGTACTCAAATCAACAATTTGGACCAGAAGAAACAAGAATTCCAAAAAATGAGGAAAGGCTTAGGAACCTCTGGGACAACTTTATACTTTCCAATATCTGAATTATAGGGGTGCCAGAAGGAAAAGAGAAAGAGCAAGAAATTAAAAATTTATTTGAAAAATGAATGAGTATTTTCTTCAATCTGGCCAAGGAAATAGACTTATAAGTCCAGGAAGCTCCAAGAGTCCCAAATACGTTGGACCCAAAGAGGAACACACTAAGACACATAAGTTACCGAAGCTTAAAAATTAGAGAATCTTAAAAGTGGCAGGAGAAAAGGAGACAAAAGAGTTCCCATAAGACTTTCAGCTGATTTCTCAAAAGAAACCTTGCAGGTAAGAAGGGGCTGGAAGGAAGTATTCAAAGTTCTTGAAAGGCAAGAACCTACGTCTAAGGTTACTCTATCCAACAAAGCTATCCTTTAGAATGGAAGGGCAGATAAAGTGCTTCCCAGATAAGGTCCAGTTAAAGGAGTTCATCATCATCAAGCTCTTATGTGAAATGTTTAAGAAAAAGAAAATAACAATGTGAAATGTTTAAGAAAAAGAAAACAACTATGAACAGTAAAAAGGCAACAAATACAACTATCAACAACTGAACCTAAAAAGCTAAGCAACCCACTAGAACAGGAACACAATCACAGAAATAGAGATCACATGGAGGGTCATCAGCGGGGAGGAGGAGGAGGGATAATGTGGGAAAAGGTACAGGGAGTAAGAAGCATAATTGGTAGGTACAAAATAGGGGCAGATAAAAATAGTATAGGAAATAGGCCAAAGAATTTTATATGTATGACCCATGAACTAAGGTGGCGGGGGCTGGTGCTGGAGGGAATGGGGCTATTGGGCAGAGGAGGATATAGGGGAGTAAAAAACGAGACAACTGTAATAGCATAATCAAAATGTTTTACTTATGGAGAAATATTTTTAATCATTCTTAAATATTTAATACGTTGCTATTTATGTAAATTGGTAACTTGCATATGTAATCTTAGATACATTACAATTTAAGTAAATAAAACTACAGTGGAAGATACACAAAATGAAGTAAGTTGAACTTAGATGAGATGTTAATACCAGTATTAATAATAATTGAGGTGTGTTCAGAAGGTATCTAGCCATGTAAGTTGCAACATGGAGACATTTATTGCCCTGGCTGGTGTGGCTCAGTGGATTGAGTGCTGGCCTGCCAACTGAAAGGTCACCAATTTGATTCTCAGGCAATACCTGGGTTGTGTACTAGGTCCCCAGTTGGTGGCTTGCAAAAGGCAACCAATTGATATATCTCTTGCACATCAATGTTTCTCTTCCTCCATCCCTTTCCCTCCCTCTAAAAATATAAATAAATAAATAAATGACACTTATTGAAGATACAATAAACATTATACATTGGACAATAATGCCTCAGTCTCCCTCAAAGTAGGCAGCTTGGGACTTAACACAGTTTTCCCAATCGCCATCAGCTGCCTCACTGTTTTCCTGAATGTCATAACAGCCTGAAATCTCTTCCTTTCCAAGGTGATTTAGTTTTGGAAAACCCAGAAGTCGCTGAGCACCAAATCTGGGTTGTTGGGGGCCTGAGTCACCTGGGTGATTTGATGTTTTCCCCCAAAGTTGTACAAGACATGATGCATGAGCAGGTGCTTTTTCAGTGATAAAGCTCCCAATCACTAGTTGCCTATAGCTTTGGCCTTCTGAATCATTCTAATAGTTTCTGTGGAGGAATGTTCAAGCCTAATACAAGGTTTGATGCAGATTTGTTGCTTTACTCAGTCATATTGAATTGCAACTGGCACACAGTACACAGGCTCCCTCACTGGTGTCTGTCACCCCCACTGACCAATACAGTGAAATCATTGTTCACATATGTGCATTCCAGTCCACTGTCTTTGGCTGCCAGGTTACATCGATGTCACACAAACCATTTTCATTATATTAACAATAGGCGGACTTTTTCTGGACAGACCTTTGTAAACTTAGTAGAGGATTATAATCATTGTTTTAATAATTGACTTCACATTCCACTGTAAGGAAATTTTTTGCATATAGAATTAGTGGAATGTAAGGAACTTTTTCTGTGTAGAATTTGAGGCAAAAACCAGATTTTGTGAGAATTTCTGTCTCCTTTGAGAATGTGGAAAGCTTGCTTAGATATCCCTGAAGTTCAGCTTTTCTCCTGAGGAGACATGGAACTTTTAGGAAATGAAGCTTGTTGGAGTTCTGGTAGGAGAGTTCTTTTTTTTTTTTTAATTTATTTATTTTTATTGATTATGCCATTACAGTTGTTCTATTCCCCCCTTCATTCCCCTCCACCCTACCCCCCCATCCCCACCATTACCCCCCTTTAGTTTATGACCATGTGTCTCAAGTTCTTTAGATTCTATATTTCCCATACTATTCTTACCCTCCCCCCTATGTATTTTCTATCTACTGTCTATGCTACTTATTTTCTGTACCTTCTCCCCCCTTCCCCTCCTCCCACTCCCCTGTTGCTAACCCTCCCTGAGATCTTCATTTCTATGGTTCTGCTCCTGATCTAGCTATCCTCTTAGTTTGCTTTTGTTTTAGGTGTGGTTCTTAATAACTGTGAGTTTGCTGTCCTTTCACTGTTCATCTTTTTTATCTTCTTTTTCTTAGGTAAGTCCCTTTAACATTTCATATAATTAGGGCTTGGTGATGATGAACTCCTTGAATTTGATCTTATCTGAGAAGCACTTTATCTGTCCTTCCATTCTAAATGAAAACTTTGCTGGGTAGAGCAATCTTGGTTGTAGGTCTTTGGTTTTCATGACTTGGAATACCTCTTTCCAGCCCCTTCTTGCCTGTAAGGTCTCTTTTGAGAAATCAGCTGACAGTCTGATGGGAACTCCTTTGTAGGTGACTGTCCCCTTATCTCTTGCTGCTTCTAGGATTCTCTCCTTCATTTGAATCTTGGCTAATGTAATGATGATGTGCCTTGGTGTGTTTCTTCTTGGGTCCAACTTCTTTGGAACTCTCTGAGCTTCCTGGATTTCCTGAAAGTCTATTTCCTTTGCCAGATTGGGGAAATTCTCCTTTATTATTTGTTCAAATAAGTTTTCCACTGGTGGCTGTTCCTTTCCCCCTTCTGGTACCCCTATAACTCGGATGTTGGAGTGTTTAAAGATGTCCTGGAGGTTCCTAAGACTCCTCATTTCTTTGAATTCTTGCTTCTTCACTCTTTTCTGTTTGGCCATTATTTGCTTTCTTCTGGTCCACTGCATTGATTTGAGTCCCAGTTTCCTTTTCATGGCTATTGGTTTCCTGTGCAATTCCATTCATTTCAATTAGTTTTGCCTTCATATGTGTGTCTAATTTGTGGCTATAATCAACCAGTTCTGTGAGGGTCCTGATCACCAGT